TTTTTCTTAAATGTCTATGATCTCTATACAGTGGATATAAGAAATAATGGCTAGCTACTGCGCATCCCCTCCCAGCTACGTGTTTAGTGAGATCACACCATTCACTTGACATTGGCCACGATGAGAATGCGTACATCTCAGAAATCGGCAAATGCTACAGATTGGGGCTTTTCCCCTCCAAATGCTGATTAGGCATAACAGGCACACCTTACTTTAAGGCAACCACTGTCAACCAGAGGAAACAGAAAGAAGTCCATCAGGCTTGTCTCTTTCCAAACAGCCACGGCAGTTCCAGGCCATGCATGCAGAAAGCCAGGGGGTGAGGCTGTGCCCTGTGAGAAACTCTTACACTCAAAGGGTTTTCAGTTACAGGACTTTCTTTGGCTTGATAGCTAGTTTGGGGGAGTTTGGGGCCATCACTTCAATACAAGTTCCTTGTCATAACTGTACTCTGGCTTACCTTGACATCTGGTGTTTACTCCAAGCTGAGGTTTTAGGGAAGGGTAGTTGGAGTCCAACGGCGGTTCCTAGCGACAGATGGGCAGAGCGTCTGTTTTGGCATCATCCAGGGGGTGGGCAGCAGTGGTCCGAGTAGGAACCACTGACCTGCAGGCAGGGAGAGCCTGCCAGGTCAGCCATGCACTTGGCATCAGGAGGAGAGGCTCAGAGCCAGCAGTGGTCACAGTGAGGGCAAAACCCTCACGGTGGAATATTGTCACCCAAAAGGGATGGGTGGCTGTAGGGCTTTTTGGATGGAAGCATAAATGAGAAAATACACACATTTCTATAAATGGACCTGTTTGTGAAGACAAGGCCATTGTACACATAGTTTTCTAGCAATCTAAACCTTATGTGTCATGATGTAGATCCTTATAGGACAAGCAAGAACAACAAAACTTTCAGTTTTATTCTCCACTATAAGATAATGGAAGGCACGTGTGGTGGAAGGTACTTATGTCACCAGGAAGAGAGATAGCAGCCAGCAAGCAATGCCTTTCTGTTGTATGAGTTAAAAAGTCTATTAAATCCATTTAGTTTTTCAGTGTATACACAAGAATGAATTTGGATACTCCTGCAAATTCATATTTAAGAACAGTGTTTCTCAAATCGATTATTTGAAAGAAACTCAAAGGAAAAAGCATACACTTTCACAATATGTCCTTGCTCTGTCGTATTCTGTAATTGTGAACTTTCGTAAATTGTTACAACCCTGGATGAATGATGGGAATATAACAGGTTGTAGAATTGGAGAATGTTAAATCTTTGTTCCTAATGGCAAAACATGTTTTTCTCATTTTCATCAGAATGTGTGATCCATGCCATTTGAAATCAAATTCCAAACACAATGAGCCATTAGTGTAATAGCTCATTACTAACAGCAGTCTTATAAATAATACATTCTTATCATGCACATGCAGCTCGCTGTGAAGCCAGCAAAAGGTATTTCAGGCCATCGAAGTTTTGTTGCGCCAGCGCGACTGTAGATTAGAGGGACATCTCCATGTGAACTAAGATGGATGCCAATTTTCCCTGCCGAGAGTGAGGCTGGCCATCTCTTTCTGCACATATGGTAGATGGATTGGTTAATCAGCGTCTGCTGAGTCTTGGGCCTGAAATTACAGAGAAGCCAGACAACTGGGGCTATGCAGCCTTTGTTCACGAGTGCAAACAAGACAAACAATCACTTGTTATTTGGGAAAAAAATTAAAATGTTTATTTTGGACTATTACTAAAGTGTCAATGGCTTTATAAAACAGCTGTGTAAATCCAGGCTTTTGCAGCAAGTATCATTTTAGGGGGCCTGTAAAGAAAGGAATATACATGAAAAAATTAGTTTTTAAAAATTCCCCTTGTACTTCAGTATTGAAGGGAAAATAGAAGAAGTCTCTTATTTTGCAAACATGTTTGAGAACAACTGATTTTTAACTAGGAGACATATTTCAGAACAAATAGTAGTTTAATATCTAATTTTTGAATGCAATGATTATCTAAGAAGGCCTGAACATTTGAGAGGTAGAACCCAGTAAATGCTGGTTTCCGATAAGAGCTATCAGTTTAATCAGTCAACCAGAATATGCTTAAAATCTACTTAATCATCGACAGGAATTATTCATGTAGGATTTAAAGGACTATGTATTTTCTCTCTCTTTCTAAGTTTTAAATACTTTCCTTGCAGAAAACAATGAAACACAGAATTACTTAAGGGAAATAATGAGTTTCAGTCACAGCCATCTCTCAATGTGGATTATGATAGAATTAAAGTCTGTTGTTAGTTTCTAATGTTTTGGTATCAATCAGGCACCAGGGTTCAGATCAGCTAGTTACTCATCTTCTTGCCTGTGTATTGCTTATCAAAGACCAAAAGTCATGGGGACGACTGCAAGAGCTTCAGAACCAGGCATCTCAGGATGCTGGGAGGTTAGACATTTACAGATCAGACCCACCTGGTGAACCAGCCTGGCCTGACTCAAGTTTACATAACTCAAACATTTTCTACCAAATCTCCTTCCCTCATATCTCCTCCCCATCAGACTATCTAGTTAATAAATAAGTGAGTTCAACACAAATTGAAGAGTTTCTACCTGATAAGGAGCCAGGGGCCATGAGCTTTCTCTGTACTGGGGGCTGATCAGATGGGCACTGGAATAATGACCTATGTTCCTGAGAACTGTGCATGGCAGAGGGGAAGAAAATGACAATAGTACCAGGCTCGTGGTGGGGTACAAACACAAGATACCAAATGGCAGAGGATGTGGAGCAGGCATGGCCATAGTCTGAGCAAAGAGGACAAGTGTCAAGTTCCAATGTTGAGAGGTCAAGAACTCTGGCAATTTCCCTCTGTTACTTAGGTACCACTAGGTGTGTCCCCAGTGGTCACTTATTGGGACATTTTTTGAGCATGTTTTATGTACTTAAGTAAGACACTTATTTCTCCCTTAAATCTCAAGGTTCCTGCCAAACCACCAACTGACCACGTGCTGAGGGCTCTGAGCTCTGATAGAATAATGCAGTGTTTTGGGCTGGGTGTGGTGGCTCACGCCTGTAATCCCAGCACTTTGGGAGGCCAAGGCGGGTGGATCAATTGAGGTCAGGAGTTCGAGATCAGCCTGGCCAACATGGTAAAACCCCGTCTCTATTAAAAATGCAAAAATTAGCCAGGTGTAGTAGCAAGTGCCTGTGGTCCCAGCTACTTGGGAGGCAGGGGCAGGAGAATCACTTGAACTCAGGAGGTGGAGGTTGCAGTGAGCTGAGATTGCGTCACTGCACTCCAGCCTGGGAGACAGAGCAAGACTCTGTCACAAAAAAACAAAAAAAAAAAAAAAAAAAAGAATAATGAGGTGTTTTGGATATTTCAGGTGGAAGGTGCAGCTGTTGGGTTCATGAGTGTGTGCTCGAGAGTGAACATGCAGCTGCTGCATGAGTGCTTTGACTTGGGCCCTTTCCACGGACTCTGTTTCCCACATCCTGATGATGTTCTGGAATCACCACAAGAGCTAAGTGTCCGAGGAAGTCAAGGTACAGTGGCTATCATAGGGACACTGGGGAATTAAATCTTTGCTTTATACACATTATGCCCTTTGCTAAGTGATGGAACTAGATAGGGTACTTTATATTTCCTTCCCCAGTCCTTCTTAAGGGGTAGTTCCCATGGTTGGTTACATCCTTGTGCAAATAGCCATAAGCGTAGATAGTCACAGTGCAGAGGTGGAATTAGACATGGTGGACTTGGGGCTTTAGAGTTCCCACATTCAGGGTGCTCACTTCTTGAATGTTCATTGCTAGAGTAGATATAAGTTATGGCAAAATAGTTACTAGTGTTTCAGGATTTTACACACACACACACACGCACACATGCACACACACACACACACACACACACACAGACACACACAGCCAAATATATCAAGTGAATTTTTCAAATCAAGAACTCAGGAAATTTTGTTTTTAAGTTTGAATCCCAACATTCAGTGCTTCTGTGTTTATGTCTTTGACAAATCATTATGTGGGTAGGTCTGTTGCAAGTCATTTATAACTTGCTTATTTCTAGCTATATGAAGTAATATCAATTTTAAAATATTGTCTGTATCAAGATTTTCAGCACATGCAGCTAGGTAATCAAACTTTGATGTTTTACTTTAATGAGGTCTTACTCTGTCCATTGCTATATGAAATAATATAATCAATTTTAAAATATTGTCTGTATCAAGATTTTCACCACATGCAACTAGGTAATCTCAAACTTTGATGTTTTACTTTAATGAGGTTTTAACTCTATCCATGGGTTTCTTTGTGGTTACATGTTTGGGTTCTTAACGGAGGACAGATGCTGGCAGGCAAGTTACCGTGGGTACATCAATTCACTTTTCCAAAGCTGGGTTTCTTCCTTTGTGAAATAAGGATAATAATACCTCCCACACAGGGGGGGTTGCGAAGTTTCACTGAGATAAGCCATGTAGAGTGCTTTGCACAGTAAACTTAGCACTCAATAAATGTTGATCATCACTGTTAGCAATTTTTATTTCTTTGTGTCAGCCTTCCACCAACCTGAATCTTCCTGGGGTAAAATAAGGATATTTCAAATTCCTATGCTTTCTCCTGTCTGAAAGATTATACCAAGATTGTTCAGAAATGGGAAAAGGAGCCCTTGGGTGGTGGCAAAGAACTTGTCAACCTAGACAACAGAAGGCGGCAACTCAGCTAATCTTATCCCCTGAATGCACAAACCTAGTGCACAGTTATCACAGAGAACTTGCAAAGCCACATGTAGAGAAGTGTTTCCCTTTTCATCTGAACATACACACTTATCACAGAGAACTTGCAAAGCCACACATAGAGAGGTGTTTCCCTTTTGTGCTGATGATAACAATACCCTTCCCAAAAGAGATTTGAGGTTCTTATTGTTTAATAATGAAGCCTTGCTTGGTATGCTTCTCAGAGAACTGCTATCATGGGAGTGTTCTGAAGGAACTTATCAATGTGAGATAGTCCAGAACCATAAGTTGTCATTGTGACTTTCCAACTCTTAAATTTTTCTTTGAAAGTGGCACTAAATAGACTTTTTTTTTTTTTTTTTTTTGAGATGGAGTTTTAACTCTTGTCACCCAGGCTGGAGTGCAATGGTGTGATCTCGGGTCGTGGCTTACTGCCACCTCCGCCTCCGGGGTTCATGTGATTCTCCTGTCTCAGCATCTGGATTAGCTGAGATTACAGGCAACTGCTACCACACCCAGCTAACTTTTGTTAGCTGGGACAGGATTTTGCCATGTTGGCCAGGCTGGTCTTGAACTCCTGACCTCAGGTGATTCACCTGCCTTGACCTCCCAAAGTGCTGGGATTACAGGCGTGAGCCACTGTGCCTGGCTCTAAGTAGCCTTTTTATGACTCAATATTCTCATATATAAAATGGAGATAGAAATAGCATCTAACCCAAGGAATTGAGGGGAGGATTAAATGTTAGAATGTACTTGTGCTTAGCTCAGCGCCAAACACAAATTAAGTCCTGAACATTTTAAAATACTTTTCCCCCTGTGACTGTTGTAATAAAGAACACATTGAAAAGTCCCTTCCAGTGTGTTCCTGAGTGGCTTTGATGCTATTAATGTTCCCTACCTAGAATGAATGTAAAATTCCTTAGAAACTTTATGGGGCAATGAAATTCAAAATTTAAACTGAACCCTGGACTTAAAACACACATAAACTAGTATATCTCTATCTAGCAAGACCCCACAAAGATACGGGCACTAAAAGAAGTCCTGCTTCTCTCTACCTCCTTTAATATTTTTACATAAAATCAGTTGACCTAGGACAGATGTGAAGTAAAGGAAATAGGAAAACTTATCTCTGTGCCTTATTTTTGAAAGTCAGCTTTATGTTCATTGACACAAAGCTGATTCTTTATGAAATTTTCACCAGGGAGCTGGCATTGTAGACTTCCAGATAACTTACAGGGATTGAGTCACAAATCATCCACAGCTCATTATATCTAAGAAAAGAGTCATCAACACATTTTGCTGCCATCTTCCTTTCAACAACAAAGAATGAAGCTCGAGAAGATTCTAAATGTACTGTGATCTGTTACTTCTTTTCCTGATGAAAGTCTCAAGTTAAAGGAAATATAATTTCTCTAAAATATGAAGTAAAATTCTTGTTTCAGATGAGCACACATCACTGTGCCTCATATCTTGTATTTCATTTAGTGCTTTTTCCATTTCAAAGGATATATATATCTATATATGTAATTTTATCCTAGTAACTTGATGTAGGAGAGCTAGGGAAAGTGAGGTTCTCTTCATTTTATACCTGCTCAAGCTCATCCAAGCTTTTTTTTTTTTTTTTTTTGAGACAGAGTCTCACTCCATCACCAGGTGCCAGGCTGGAGTGCAGTGGCACCACCTCAGCTTACTGCAACTTCTGCCTCCTGGGTTCAAGCAGTTCTCCTGCCTCAGCCTCCTGAGTAGCTGGGACTACAAGTGCATGCCACCACGCCCAGCTAATTTTTTGTATTTTTAGTACAGACGGGGTTTCACCATGCTGGCCACGATGGTCTCGATCTCTTGACCTCGTGATCTGCCCACCTCGGCCTCCCAAAGTGCTGGGATTACAGGCGTGAGCCACCACGCCTGGCCTCATCCAAGCTTTTAATGCTCATCAGTGGCTGACCCAGAAGGCAGACCCAGCCTCTTTCTGCTTTTGTGCACGATGATAGCCTTGGCAAGGTAACTTTTTATCTTGGATGGTTTTGACAGAAAACTCCAATGACAGGTCTGCTACACAAGATATGTGATCAGTGTTTTCACTCTAATTTTTTAAAAATTTATTATTTTTTGAGATGAAGTCTCTCTCTGTCACCCACGCTGGAGTGCAGTGGTGCAATCTCAGCTCACTGCAACCTCTGTCTCCCGGGTCAAGTGATTCTCCTGCCTTAGCCTCCCCAGTAGCTGAGATTAGAGGCATATGCCACCACATCCTGCTATTTTTTTTAACTATTATTATTTTTAAGAG